CTAAACCCCAAACCCTAAACCCTAAACCCTAAACCCGAGCCCTGCATCCTGGATCCTCAACCCTCCCGCCCCCCGGCCCCCGCCAAAGCTCCTCTCGGTCCCTGGCCCTGCCGCCGCCGCTTTGCGGGGTAGAGGCTGACCTGCACGGCATCCACTGGGTTTAGGGTTTAGGGTTTAGGGTTTAGGGTTTAGGGGGTAGGGTTTAGGGTTTAGGGTTTAGGGTTTAGGGTTTAGGGTTTAGGGTTTAGGGTTTAGGGTTTAGGGTTTAGGGTTTAGGGTTTAGGGTTTCTGAGCACTTATAAGACTTCCAAGTCTTCTAGGTAGGTTTGAAAAGTAGGCTTAGAATTTGGGGTTATACCCTACTTTGGAGTAGACCCTCGAAAAAACAAACCTTTGCTTTTTAGCTGTAAGTAGCTACAGTAGGAATCCAGACCCAAACAAACGTATCAAAGTATAGTACCCCGAAACTCAAGCAGAGCGCATCCCATAAACCCTAAACCCTAAACCCCAAACCCTAAACCCTAAACCCTAAACCCTAAACCGCACATCACAGCATCTTTCAGCGGAGGCCGAGCCTTGGCTTCAGGGACACCGGCGGGTGGCAGCGCGACCGCCTCAACACGCAAGAACATCATGGGGTACTTAAAGGGAGGGGTTTGGGCTTTGGGGTTTAGGGGTTTAGGGTTTAGGGTTTAGGGTTTAGGGTTTAGGGTTTAGGGTTTAGGGTTTAGGGTTTAGGGTTTAGGGTTTAGGGTTTAGGGTTTAGGGTTTAGGGTTTAGGGTTTAGGGTTTAGGGTTTAGGGTTTAGGGTTTAGGGCCTCAGGCTTTCGACAAGGCGCCCTGAACACTTTCATCTTTCAGGGCTCAGGGTGGCCCTGAACCCAATTAGGGTTTAGGACTTAGGGGTTTTGGGCTTAGGGCTTAGGGTTCAGGGGGTTAGGGATAGGGTTAGGGTTTACGGAGCCCTAGACCCTCAAACCCTCAAACCCTCAAACCCTAAACCCTAAACCCTAAACCCTAAACCCTAAACCCTCACAGGGACGGGAGTCCTCACCCTGAGCTCGGAGGGTGACCACACCGCGCCTCCAAGTCGATGGCCGCCGGGAAGTGCCAGAAGCACTCCTGAGGGTTTAGGGTTTAGGGTTTAGGGTTTAGGGTTTGGGGTTTAGGGTTGAGGGTTGAGGGTCCAGGGTTTAGGGTTTAGGGTTTAGGGTTTAGGGTTAAGGGTTAGGGTTCGGGGTCTAGGTTGGGATTTTCTTGAGTCCCGGATCGAGGAAGTTTTTGGGGTTTAAGGACTCCAAGCTCAGGACCCTAAGCCTAAACCCTCAACCCCAAACCCCAAACCCGAAACCCCAAGCCCTAAACCCTAAACCCGAAACCCCTAAACCCTAAACCCTAAACCCTAAACCCTAAACCCTAAACCCTTAACCCACCCTCAACCCCAAACCCCCAAAGTGCAGCCCAGATTCGGGTTTCACGACGAGAGTCTCACTCCTGCGCTCCAACAGAACCTCGGCGAAACACCTATCGAATTCTCAGTATCGGTTAGGGCTTGGAGTTTGGGATTTAGGGTTTAAGGGCCTAGGGTTTAGGAACCCAGTAGAATATTTTAACAATAAAAATAGTAACGAAGCTTATATATAATAAATTAAATAATATCAAAATAGGTTAAACCCTAAAACCCTAAAACCCTAAACCCTAAACCCTAAACATACAAGTTTATATTTCAGAATGTGTAAACGGTCGACTGCGATGCCTCGGCGCCACCCCGAAAGGTTGTAAGGTTTGGGGCTGAAGGCTAAGGGCTTGGGGGTCTAGGGTTTGGGGTTTAGGGGTTTGGGTTTAGGGGTTTGGGGTTTCGGGTTTGGGGTTCAGAATTTGGGGTTTGAGATTTGGGGTTTGGGGTTTGGGGCTGGTCCAGGGCTTCGGGCTCCTCTGCAGGCTTTGTGTCTAAGTCTCGCACGCCTTCCTCCTCAAGCAGATGCACCTCGTAGAAGAGTCGGCTGTGTAAAAAGGATGGTGGACAAGTAAACACCATCGTATACATGTATATGTGGCTCTACATACATGTACATGTAGGTGGGGGGTTTACGAAAGTCAGGGACCCCTAACATAGACCCCAAATAGCAGGATCCATACCCTAAGTCCTAAGAACCCAAAGCCCTAAACCCTGAAATGCGAACCCCAAAGCCCAGATATCCTAAACCCTACACCCTAAACCCTAAACCCTAAACCCAGCAATCCTAAGCCCTAAACCCAGAAATCCCCACAAACCCTAAACCCAGAAATCCGAAACCCCTAAACCCTGAAAATCCTAAAGCCCTAAACCCTGACATCCTAAAACCCTGAAATCCTAAACCCTAGGCCGGGTATATTCCTTAACTAAGACCCGTTTATGCCTCTAAACCCTAAACCCTAAACCCTTACAGCCCTACACCCTAAACCCTAAACCCTAAACCCTAAACCCTAAACCCTAAACCCTAAACCCTAAACCCTAAACCCTAAACCCTAATGGGTTTTGGGGGGCGCCCTGGGGACCATGGACCATGCCTTGGTCTGGACTTGGGCGTCTTCCAAGGCGGTGGCTCCAAAGTAGCCACCCAGCGAGCGATCAGCTGAGCAGAGAGGGCTTGAGGGTTTAGGGTTTAGGGTTTAGGGTTTAGGGTTTAGGGTTTAGGGTTTAGGGTTTAGGGTTTAGGGTTTAGGGGTTCTAGGGGTTTAGGGGCTTAGGGGTTTAGGGGTTTAGGGGTTTAGGGGTGTAGGGGTTTAGGGGTTTAGGGGTTTAGGGGTTTAGGGGTTTAGGGGTTTAGGGGTTCTAGGGGTTTAGGGGTTTAGGGGTTTAGGGGCTTAGGGGTTTAGGGGTTTAGGGGTTTAGGGGTTTAGGGTGTTTAGAGGGTTTCGGGGGTTCAGGAAGTGAAGAATACCAAGATCCGATATGTGCAAGAAGACATCTACCAAGAAAGATGTCCGGGCAGCTGCACATGTTTGGGGCTGAGGGCCCCTGTTCCTATTCCTTCATAACGAACATCTAAATGATCACAGAACCAACTTCTCAAGATGAAATTGCCTCCCAAACCTTGAACCCTCTACACCCACACCAAACCCTCAACCCGCAAATCCCCCAAATCCTACCCGCTACACCCAAGTAAGTCTCTACGCTTTTTTCCTTGGACCCTTAAGGTTGCAAGACAAGGGGGAACAACCCTGGGGTGCGCAGGTCTTTACTCCCTTGAAAATCGAAACCTAAACCCCTAGACCCTAGACCCTAAACCCTAAACTCCCAAACCCTAAACTCCCAAACCCTAAACCCTGAACCCTAAACTCCCAAACCCGAAACTCCCGAACCCCACAAGGGCGCTGGCACCTCTCACGATGCGGTGGCACGGAACCGCCGGGGCGTAGGGATTCCGCTTCAGGGCCTCCCCAGCCGCTCCGAGAGAACAAAAGTTTAGGGCTTAGGGTTTAGGGTTTAGGGTTCAGGGTCTAGCGTCTAGGGTTTAGGGTTTAGGGTTTAGGGTTTAGGGTTTAGGGTTTAGGGTTTAGGGCTCGGGGCCGAGGGTTTAGGGTTTGGGGTTGAGGGTTTAAGGCAACTGGTGCAAATGGGGCTTAAGGTCCTATAGGGTTTAGTAGTTTAGGGTGCAGAACAACTCGGGTTTAGGGTTTAGGGATTACTTTTGGGGTCAGGGTTCAGACTTCTAGGGTTCAGGGCTTGGGGCTTCGAGGGTTACTGGGCTTTCGGGTTTGGGGTTGAGGGCCGTTAGCCCTGGAGCCCGAGAGGAAAGAAAAACCCGAAGCGCAGGGTTGATATAGGGTTGGGGGTTTAGGGTTTAGGGAGACCCAAACGAACTCCCCCTTCCAAAAACAACTGCTGAAAAGATCGGGGCAAAACAAATGCTCCCAAACCCACACACCCAACCCTAAACCCGCAAGCCCCATCCCCATACAACCCCCTTACACCCCCGTACACCCACACACCCCCTACGCCCCCTAAACCCTAAACCCTAAATCCCCTATTCTCAACTCAGAAACCCTAAGCCCCAAACTCCTTTATGTGGCCGAATAGGACCCCTAAACCCTAAACCCTAAACCCTAAACCCCCCTTTCTATGGCTGAATTGGGCCCCAGCCTGCCCCACGGATCGCGGGCTCCATCCTGAGCCCAAAGCCCGGGAGACCTCCACGTAGCTGCTGACGGACCTGGCGGGGGTTTAGGGTTTAGGGTTTAGGGTTTGGGGTTTGGGGTTTAGGGTTTAGGGTTTAGGGTTTAGGGTTTAGGGTTTAGGGTTTAGGGTTTAGGGTTTAGGGTTAGGGTTTAGGGTTTAGGGTTTAGGGTTTAGGGTTTAGGGTTTAGGGTTTAGGGTTTCCTATGCCTAAGCCCAAGACCTTTGACACCCTAGAAGCCCTACGCGCCCTGCAATCCCTACAGGCTACAAGACATATGCTCAGCCCTCTCGACACCCGCCTATACACCTCAAGCTATCGAGGTGCGCCAGACTCGCGGTTGATACAAAAGGCTTGGGTTTCTCTAAGCCCTTAGCTTCTCGAGAGCATTTTAGAGGCATGTACGGGGCTCTTTTTTCAGGGCCAACTTTAAGGGACCATGTAGCTACCCCTAAACCCTAAACCCTAAACCCTAAACTCAGGGCTTGGGTTCGGGGTTTCGGGCTCAGGGGGTTGAAGGTAGGAGCGTTCGAGGTTCGAAGCTGCGGGAGCCCCCCCCCCCCCCGCATGCCCTAAAGGTGATAACAGCAGAAGGCCTGGAAGCCCTTAAGGAACCCCTAAGCCCTCAACCCGAAACCCTAAACTCTGAACCCTAAACCCCAAACCCCAAACCCCAAAGCCCTAAACCCCAAAACCCGAAACCCCAAAACCCTAAAAACCCCAAACCCTAAACCCTAAACCCTAACTACCCTCCACATCACAGCTTCTTTCGAGCAACGGGAGCTTGCCAAGCAGGTCTCGCCCGCCGACACTTCTGGCACGCCTCGCTGTGTGCGGCGTTCACACCTCGGCAGTGGGTACCTTCGGACAGCTTAGGATTTAGGGGTTTAGGGTTTAGGGTTTAGGGCACAGGGTTTAGGGTTTAGGGTTTAGGGTTTAGGGTTTAGGGTTTAGGGTTTAGGGTTTAGGGTTTAGGGTTTAGGGTTTAGGGTTTAGGGTTTAGGGTTTAGGGTTTAGGGTCTGGGTTTTGGGTTTAGGCCTCGCGCACCCACCTCGATCTCCCCGTCAGCACTTAAGCCCCCCAGCTCTGAACGCCCTAAGCCCTAAACCCTAGACATCCCAAAAACCCTAAACAATAAATCCCAAACCCTGAACCCTAAGCCCTAAACCCTAAACCCGAAAGCCTAAACCGTAAGAACGGTTAGAAGCTGACATAAATGCAGGCATGGGCACAGAGCCAGTCCCCTGGCCTGCCACCAGAACTCCTCAAGCAGGGGCCCAGCCCCTGAAATGGCGGCCTTCGTGGTTCCTCAGGTCTTTGCGCCGCTGGGGGTTTAGGGCTTGGGGTCTTAGGGTTTAGGGTTTAGGTTTTAGGGTTTAGGGTTTAGGGTTTAGGGTTTGGGGTCTTAGGGTTTTCTGGGTTTCGGGTATAGGGTCTTAAGTCTTAAAGGTTTTGGGGTCTTCGGGTCTTGGTCCGGTCTGAGGTTCTCCGGGGTTTAGAGTTTCAGGGTCTTAGGGTCTTAGGATCTTCCCCAATGTGTGAAAAACACCTTGCTACTGAGCACCCAAGGCTCCTTGATGAAGGTGTGAACCATGGCAGATCGGGAACGCGAGTTGCGCCGCACTTCCTCAGGTGAAGGACGGATGGGCGCCATGAGCCGCCGTGCGGCAAATGGCTGCACACTGGAGAGCAAGGGGAAGAGCTCGCCCAGGCGGTCCGGCGACACCTGGTTCTGAGGATTTCGGGCTTGAGGGTTTAGGGCTTAGGGACGCTTGGGGTGTAGGGGGGTTCGGGAAGTTCGGGTTCATTTGGGTTTGGGGCCAAGTGGTACAGGCTTCTTTTCCTCCAACGTGCATGTGCAGCTGACACTTACAAAACCATGTCTCGCCCAAATGCTTTGAAACTCATCATCAACTGGCGCATGCAAGTTTGTAGCCTTGTGCGCAGAGGGGGGGTGGGGGTTTCCCCGTGATCCTTGAAAGAATGAACCCCCGCTGCCCAGACGCCTGCGATGCCAACGGGCTCGCCCAACCGTCCTCGTTGTGCCTGAGCCAGTTCTCCAACACCTGCTCCTCCCGTGGCTTGAAGGTGATCACGATGGCACGGCCCCCGTACTTCAGCCGCCGGAACTGCGCCTCCATGGCATCCGCCAGCTGCTGCATCTCCTGGTTGATGAAGTTGCGGATGCCCTGGAAGGCCAGCTTGGCCGGGTGCTGGCGGCGGTCGTCCAGGCCTTTTTTCACCTCCTGGATGCACGTGGAGAGCTCCAAAGTGGAGGAGAAAGGGCCGAGGCGCCGCTGCCGCTCCAGCACTGCCTCGGCGATCCGCTGGCACAGGATCGGGTCGTCGTCCTCGCCGTTCTCATAGACGACCCACGCAAGCTCCGCGGGCGTGGCGGTCTGCAGCCACTTCCAGGCAGGTATGCCTGCCTTGAAGTTCATGCGCAGGTCCAGGGGCCCATCCTGATAGCAGCTCCAGCCACGGCCCCCATCGTCAACTTGCGGTGAGGAGAAGCCGATGTCGAGAAGCATCCCCGACAACTCCAGCCCAACCGGGAGGCTCTCGTGGACGTCTGCAAAGGGCCGGTGGATCATCGAGAAGCGGCCATCCAGCTCTTCGAGCTTCCTGCCCACCGCCACCGCGTTCGGGTCCACGTCGAATGCCCAGAGCCGGCCCGACTCCGACAGGCGGCGCAAGATCTCCGTGGAGTGCCCCCCGCGCCCGAAGGTGCCGTCGGCGTAGTGGCCCTCCACCCCATCGGGGCCTCCCAGCAGGCAGTTGATGGACTCGTCCCGGAGGACCGGGATGTGCCCGGTGGTGAGCTCTGCAGATGCCTCCTTGCTAGCCCCCAGCAACCATATTCTGACATATTATGATAAGGGCACCCTCTTTCCCCTAACTTTTTTGGGTTGGGCTACTTTTTGAAAGGGAACCTTGAACCCAAAAAAAGGGGAAAAGGGTACCTCTGGGCTGCCAAGCCTCCCTGACCACTTTGGCCCTCTGACTTCGGTCGCGTCTCAGGGGCACCTTCCCCCACACGGGGGTGGCCTCGGTGGCCGCCTTCTCCTTCAAGGCCCGAACCTCCGGGTTGAAGTACGCGGCCCAAGGGTCCTCTCCGTCTTCTCCGTCGCCTCCGTTCTTCCTTCCCCTCCTTTCGTCCACGGCGCTCTTGGCACGGAGCTGCCGGCTCGACAGGCTTGCCCTGGCGGCCTGATTCAGGCTGGCGCGGGTGCCCTGGTCCCAGGCCCCCCGCCGTGGTGACTCGCCCCTCGGAGCGCGGTCGGGGGGGAGGGAGTCGGAGCGCCGCGCGGAGGGCGCCCGGGAAGGGGCTCGGCGCCCAGAGGGGCCCATGCCGTAGGTGCCGCGGTCGATCAAGTCCACCAGAGAGGTCGAGCCGTGATGAACCTTCGCATCCCGCCCGCCTTCTGTGGGAACCGTTGCGGGAGGCACAGACACAGCCTCCTCGTCTGTCACGCGGATCGGGCTGGGAATGGCGCTTCGGAGTGGCCCATCTGCTTGACCTCGTCCCGAGCGGCTGCTCTCCTGCGGAACTGGTGTGGCTACGGCTCTGGCTCTGTGACTGCCGTGATCGCTCGTCTCTGCGCGATGGTCCGTTCTGGGTGCTGCATCCGCGCTGGGTCGCCTTGGCCTGCTCGGAGCACGTTTGGAACTGGTGCCACCCAATCGTCGTCGCGGCTCACGCAACAGGACCAGGGATGACTTGCGTTGCTCAGGCTGGCACATGTGTGACTCAGTGTCCAT